AAGGTCAGCTGCTGGCTGGTGGGCTTCCTGACTCCAAATCTAGAGTCTTTCCACATCACCATCCTGCTTTCAGACTGAGCACAGTGCCAGCTCCTTACAGGATACATATCCATGGGTGATATCCAGTTCATTTTGAACATAATGGTGACTGTCATGTTGCTATAGTCACTGTACAATGTCAGGAGACTGCTACTCCTTATACTTAGACACAGATGAAAACTAGATCAAACGATCAGACTGAAAATGATCCTTCTCTGAGAGATGGTATATTGGTAAGAGCTCGGGCTCTGTCCTATGTTAGAATAAGTGAAAAAGCCAGTGTGTAAATCTGAACCTGTCCGCATACCTTTGCGCAAATTGCTAGAGTTCTCCAGGGTTCAGTTTCTTACCTGCCAAATGATGGGGTGGTTATTTATGGTATTCGTGTCATAGAGTAGGGGTGCAAATCAAATGAGATAAGGTATGTAAAGCAGTGTTTCCTAACTTTTTTTTCACATCATCGCACACACATAAAAAATGATGGCAAACTGGGATAAACAGACGAAGCAGGACCTGTGAGCCATTTGTGCCATGCCTGCTGGGAAGGACAGGTGTGAAGCTCCAGAATGGTGCCTGGCACAGGGTTAGAGCTTTATGCAGCCTTGAAAATTATCGGAAAGTTGCTATACCTGTGATACATTCTCTCAGGGCTGCTTTTCTTCCTTTCGGGTAACTATAGCTGCACATGTGGCTATTTAAATTTAAATTCATTAAAATCAAATACAGTTTAAAGTTCAGTTCCTCAGTGGTACTAGCCACACTTTACATACGCAATAGCCATATGTGGCGAGTGACTATTGTACTGTTCAGTTCAGATGCAGAACATTTCTACCAGTACAGAAAAAGTTCCATTCAACAGCACTTAACTATTGTAATATTGCTCTTATGATTATGGGCATTCCTGAAATTCCCAGAAGAGTGTGAGATTCCCTGAAGGCAAGCCCTATAATCTCACTGAATTTGTGATCTGGGGAACTCTGCCCAGTGCCCTGCATGGGGCAGGGACTCAGCCATTGATCGTGGAATTGACTCAGCCTTGGTTCAAGTCACTCTCTTGCTTGCCGTGCTGAATTATTTTATTCAGATGTCACGGTGAAAGACCTGACATCTGAATAAAAGAATCCCAAAGAGGGACACCCAAAAAAGGAAACCAGGAGGCCCATTCCAAATGTAGAAATAAATAGGTGAAAATTTTCAGTCAAGATTACCCATTCCTCCACAAACCCCAAAACTACATAATCAATAGCTGAGAAAATGCCAATTATCCAGGCCCATTTGAAATATTATTCATCTGCATCATGAACAGCCACTAATCAACGTATAACAAATTGTGAAATCAGTATTTATTTACTTGCCAGGAGGAAGCCTTCCCCATCACATGTAATCAGATAGGAACAGCTCAATTTATGGAGAGAATAGAACAAACGTAGATTTTTTTTTAATATAAAATACTGAAGATCCAGAAGAAAGCTCAGAGGAGGCTGCTGGCACCTATATCGATTCCAAGATCAAATCGGCCCAAGTACCTTAATAAAGCCTGTCATTACACACTCAGATGCTATAGACAAAATTATGCTTCGGGTCAAAAGTGGATCATTTGCAGGAGTCAGAAAAGAATTTTCCTTCTCTCTTTACTACTGTGCACTGGGCACGTGCACCTCTGAGTTATTCATTCAGTCACTCATTCATTCATTTTCTCTCTGTCTTTTGGAAGTAAAGATTAAGTAGGTCTGTTGCTTGAATAAATGGATGAGAACGTGGAATCTTATTAAGGACATTTCTTTTTTTTTTTTTTTTTTTTTTTTGAGACAGAGTCTTGCTCTGTTGTCCAGGCTGGAGTGCAGTAGCACAATCTTGGCTCACTGCAACCGTCTCCTGGATTCAAGCGATTCTCCTGCCTCAGCCTCCAGAGGAGCTGGGACTACAGGCGCCCACCAACCACGCCCAACTAATTTTTTGTATTTTTAGTAGAGACAGGGTTTCACCATGTTGGCCAGGATGATCTTGACCTCCTGACCTTGTGATCTGCCTGCCTCAGCCTCCCAAATTGCTGAGATTACAGGCGTGAGCCAGGACATTCTCTTTTTATGGTGTTCATTTTATGTTTTTTTAGTAGTCTCCCAATTGCCTAGCACGTCCACTGGTGCTATGAAGACAAACTCTCACTGAATCAAAAACAGTCTGAATAAGACTGAACTGACCTGCTCTTAAAGATTGCCCTAAACTGGCTGCAAGGATTAGAGAAGCACATATAGAGTGGCTATCATAGGTCAGCACACACAGTAGGGGCTGTGCAAATGGCTCTCCTGTTTATCATTTCCGTAGTGCCCTTAGCACACAAAATGCAGGAAACATACGCACCAAACATCAATCGCACGATCCCACTAAATCCCTGTATGTTGCTCCTCCCTCAGCTCAAAATTCCTGGGAGCCACATGATGCCTGGCAACAGAGAACCCAAAGAGAAACTGCTACTAGTTTTCCTCATGTTATGTATCACTAAACCATTAAACAATCAACTTACATGGAGTTTACTACATGCCAAGCACTGCCTGGAGTTTACCATAGTCAAATAATCCTCACAGCAATCCTCTAGAAATAGGTACTATTTTTATTCCTCGTGTCATTTGAGGAAACTGAGGCACAGAAAGGTCAAGATACCTTGAGTGGGGTCACAGAGCTAATGAGTGGCAGGATTAGAAATCAAGCACTCAAATCATGACAACAAAGGACAGATGACCCAGAAGGTCACCAGTCTTCAAACTGTGTGTGAAATCCTTTGCCCCAGCTCACCTGGCAATGTGTTTAATTGCTATCTGAACCATTTGTTTAGCTCTCATTTAACATTGAGGCAAAACCGGGATCTTGGTCCAGGCAAAGCCCCACAGGAGGATACGTCTCTTACTACCTTCAGGGCCTTCCTTTAAGCACAGATGTCCATCCTCTATTCCTCAGTCCTACCTTACACATCCTCCTAGGGTGTCTGGCTGTAACTCTCATCGTTTTCTGGAGTTCAGCCTTCTGCACACCACAAAGGCCAGTCTGAAGGGGAACACTAAGCACAGTGGACAGTAGAGTCCACCCGGCATGCTATCCATTCATTCGGCTGCAGTTATGGCCCTGTCTGTGTCTCCCAGGAAACACTGCACATCGCCTGCCCTGCATACCCCTCCCAATATTTGGGAACGATGGCACTACCTCTCTAATTTCTCTTTTCTAGGCTGAATGACCCATTTCTTCAGCCTCTTCTCAAAGGCAGTATTTCTCAGCCCTTCAGTCACTTTCATTGCTCTCTTCTGGCCTCTCTCCAAGACCCTGTATCTTGTTTAAATAGTGAAGGCCAACACTGAACATGATTTAAGAACAGTCATGCCAGAAAAGTAACAAAGGCCCAATGAATACAGACTCCAGAAAGTAAATATTTTCTCTAAAACAAAAGTATTGTAATAATAATGGTCATAACAACCAGGGTGACCAAACAAAATCCTTTTTGTTGCCTGTCACATCGTTTCCTCTTATTATTTTCTAGAAGACTTAACTGCCCCCTAAGTCTTCTCAGAGGTGACTTTGCTGTTCCTCAAAAACCCTAAGCTTTTTTAGTCTCAGCTCTTCTTCCCGTCAACAGAGAAATCTTATCACGTTGAGAAATGGGCGGTCTCCTTCTCTCAACATCAGTTTTTCCAGAAATAGCACTTCCTGTCTTGGCTTCTTCAATGTCTTTTGCTTTGGGTAAGATGTCTCCCTGCCTGGCTGCACTGCTCATCTCCCCTTTGGGTGGATTTTAGCATGTGGGTGCTCACCCTGGGGGAGGGGGAGGACAGGAAGAATATGAAGGGCAGGCACCACCTGTGTAGGGCCCTGTCCAGGCCCCCAAATGCAGGACAAAGACCACCCTTCACTGCTGACTCCTCTAGAAAAAAAATTATTTATATATTTTGGTCACCCAGGCTGCAGTGCTGAGCATGATCTTAGCTCACTGCAGCCTCAACCTCCCTGGCTCAAGTATTCCTCCCACAAGCATGAGCCACAATGCCTGGCTAATTTTTTGTATTTTCTGTAGAGACAGTGTCTCACCATGTTACCCAGGCTGGTCTCAAACTCCTGAGCTTAAGCAATCTGCCCACTTCAGTCTCCTAAAATGCTGGGATTACAGGTATCAGCCATTATACCTAGCTGAGAATCTTTTCTTTTTTTTTTTTTTGCTGAGATAGTCTCACTCTTGTTGCCCAGGCTGGTGTGCAGTGGCTGGCATGATCAGGGCTCACGGCAGCCTCAACCTCCAGGGCTCACTTGGTTCTCCCACCCAGCTCCGCTCCCCCACCACCAAGTCACTGGCACTACAGGTATATGCCACCACACCCAGCTAATTGTTTTTATAATTTTAGTAGAGACAGGGACTTGCTATGTTGCCCAGGCTGGTCTCGAATTCCTGGGCTCAAGTGATCCTCCCACCGCAGCCTCCCAAAGTATTGAGATTACAGGCATGAGCCATCATACCTGACCCTTAGAGAATCTTGAGGCTGAAAATCAGGGGTGACCCTAATCAAGTTTCAAGTGACACAAACCCCCTCTGGCCTTGGGAGCAGGTGGGACCGGTGACTGGGCCTTCAACAGAGGAAGAATGACATCAAGGACAAAACAGCACTGAAGAGGCACCAAAGAGATGTGACCAAAACCCAGACGCCCTGGCACACAGCCTGGCACCTACCTCAATGCTCAATAGATACGTTTGCTTTGGCGCCACTTAAGAAACTTAACCGCTTAAAAACATAGTAGAATATAGTATAATAAGGAGAATGAAGGTGACTACTCAAAAAAGTAAAACAAAATCCCCTTCCCACTCACCCAAAGCCAACATCGTTTTCTGGGCAGACTAGGGATGTGTCCACTCCCTGACCTGTTAGCTCCATTCTTCCAGGGAATGAAAGATAAGAAGGCTGGAGGGCAGCCACGCACACTACCTGTCCACTTTCCCTGGTCTTTCTCGCCTCCACTCTCTTGGTCCTTAGCAAGCTCCTCTGGATCAGCAGCTGTTTCACTGGGTCCTTCAACATCTTCAATGGCTTCTTCTGAAACAGAAGAAAAACATGTCAAGGTTAAACATAAAGAGAAGATGAAGGCCTTCTGGTCCCTATTGCAAAGCACTGCCAACCACAAGACAGGCACCAATGACTCATGCCGTTTTCTTTCCAGTGGCCCCTGGATGGCTGCCTGTGCTGAGGATACAGCGAGGTCTGGGTAAGCAGTGGGGACTTTCCTTCTGGGTAAACAGCTGGTATGAGGCTGTGACTTGCTCCAGTTGTGTGGCCATTAGGTATTTCTAGATAGATTCTGAATGCTTCACTTGAGCAGTTCTAACTGAAAAACCAATCCTGGCTGAAGCAATAACTCCACCTGAATCCCTGAAGTCACATGCAAGTCTTTTACACTTGAAAATGCAAGACGTGCCCACCTGTTCCCTTCAGGCCTAGCTCCATTCCGAGCCTCCTGGCATTGGCCTAGACCATCCCCAATCACTGACCCCTCACAGGGCTCACAGTGCCTATGCATGTGCCACAGTGTGTGTGAGTTGTTGTGAAGGGTCATAGAGTAGCAGTGATATGAGTTCAACGGTTTGAAGAGTTCCAGAAACCAAATGGCATCTGGTGAGCATGCCAGGAGGCAGTGGTGGGAAGCGAGATTTGTAGAATACACTTTCTTTTTGAAGCAATTCCATCCTCACTCACGATGGGTTTAATATGAAGGCAGGAAACGTCTCTCCAGTTCAGTACACAGTGCTATAGTGAAGGCAGAATGACCGCTGCCAACTTTAGGTTGCTTATGAAGGGAAATGCCATCCGGCCAAGTGGGGAAGAAGAGAATAAGATACTCTAGATGCTGAGGGAAACAAAGCGACACACTTTTCTCTTGCTGTTCTGGCCCTCTGGATCATTATCCAAAGCATACATTCAGCAAGACTGGGCTAAGGGAATGAATAAAGTGGACAAACCAAGGTGACATAATTTTAATAACAATGTAATTATTAGGTGACTGTGAAGAGCACATTTTCTTGGGTATTTAGTCGTGACCAGACCCCAGCCAGGAAGTATTGAGTCTGGCTTAGAACACTGGATCAGGGCTCTGTCCAGCACCGCCAGAGGTCTCTCCAACCCCAGAGTGCTACTTTAGTTCAAAGTGTCATGCCTTCTGACCCTCTAGAAAACAGCCTCTACCCCAATGCTACTTTTCAATTTTTCAGTGTCATGCCTTCTGACCCTCTAGAAAACAGCCTCTGAATGTATCTCTTGAAGGAAGGAATAGGAGCACAAAGTACATTGGTTTCAGAGGGTTTCTAAAACACTGAGGAAGAAGGTATCTCTTTAGAATCAGATTGTCTTGACTCAAGAGATGATGGGGGTCCAAGGTCTGGAAAACTGAACTAGTGTCACGGAATGTTCCTTCTTCCTTATTGCCAAGAGGGAGTTTATGAGGCAGTCACTGGGAACACAGGTGAAGTGTGGTGCTGCTAATTTTCATCTCCAACTCAGGACTCCACATATAATCTCTCTGTCTCCTTTCTTGTCTCGCTGCACAGTAAAGTCAGCATCAAGTCTCCCTACTCTACCCTTAGTTCAAATGGAGAAAAATCAGGCAACCACAGCTTGAAGTCAATCAGATACAGAGCCCACATTAACACCATACATCATTTAGTACAGAAAACATATATAGGTGTCAGTAGAGCAGGAACACATCACACAGCATGACACAGAAACTACCTTCATTATGCCCAGATGGGATGTTCCACGCACATTTTTAGGCTTTCAATAAAATTGTTCAACATTATAATGATAAAATTCATCTTTGAATGGTGATACCAGCATTTGGTCAATTAATATTATTTATTACATTGGGTCGACCCAGATGAGCTAGGTCTCTTAAAGGATCCTTATTTGTCCCAATACATGCTGTGATACAAAATATCTGTAGTGGTAGGGATACATTTATGTATCCCAATACATAAAATGTATCACCAATACATTTATGCCTAGTGTTCCATTATTGGAACGCTAAGCTTGTGGGAGTTATTTATAGCCAACTGCTCAAGGTCATCACCAAGGTCTGATTTTTCACACAAAACAATTTTTGCAATCTCCAGCATAAATGGGTTAATCATATTTGATTAGGCAAAGAAATGGCTCAATGGCCTCTCATCTCTAATGCATACATATTATCACCTTAGATGGGGACAGTCTGACTCCTACAAACTAGAGAACACTCTGAGATGGTGATGAGCAGCGTCTGGAGGTGCTGCTCAGTAGACCTGGGAAGGGATTTACCTACTGTGAGGTCATATTACACAAGCCAGCAACATCATACAGCCTGCAGCTATCAGAGCAGAGAGTTAAAAACTCATGGTCAACCGACACTGACCCCAGTTCTTCAAGCCTTACCAAACAAATGTGTTGAGAGGCTAGAGACTGTAATGTATAAGCAGATCATTGAGGCATCAAGCAAGGAAACCGCATGTTGCTTTGCAAATATTTCTGGAGCTCTCATTCCGTGAGCCCACTTGGGCCTTTGCTTTCTTCCCTCCCTGCCTTACTGCAGGCAGCAAATGAAGGCAGCTGAGTTCCAATGAGAGGATCAACGAAAGAGGTTATTTCAAGAACTTATTTTGCTCATCTCTTTTTTTTAAAGATTTACAAATCAAGTCCTCTTCTTGAGTTCCTAGGTTTAATGTTATCATTTGTGATTCATTCACTAAAAGGCTGTTCTATGCGTGGTGGAAGAAGAAATGATTAGGAAAATCCTGGATAAGCCAGCTCCCTTGCAAGGGGATCAGTGTCCTAGCCCCCACCCCCACATAAAAACCAGGTCCCATTCAGCCCAGCCGGCTCAGCCCTGCAGTTCCAGCCGTAACCTACAGGTGTCGCCCTTTGCATGGCGAGGCCCCAGAAGGGCAGCGGGCTGCAGGAGGCAGACAAGAGTCTGGGCTGCCTAACCTGAGCATGTGGAAATAATATATGTCTTCAAGTGAACTGTCTGGTCCTGGAGAAATAAAATAGGACATTCATAAGCAGTTACACCATCTGTCTTTATACCATCATCATCAACAGCAAGAGGAAAAATAGCTCTTTAAAATGGATGAAAGCCCAGGCTGACAGTAACCGGAAAACTGTTGAGCTCTGAATACCAATAAAGGTAGAGGAATGATTAAAAAACAGCGATGCAACTAAAAATGCGTCTGGACAGCTCAGGCCCACAATGCTTTGCAGACAGGGTGTGTTTTATTGGTTCCGAAAGCATAAAGCAAGCGCGTACCAAGAGCCAGGCCTGGGGAAAGGCTTGGTCTCCCTGCCCTGGAAACACGTGGGAACCAGGGGCGAAACGGTATCCCGCTCTGAAACAGATTTGTGTCCACATGCTAAGCTCCTTGGGCTGTTATCTAGCCCTTGTTCTCTTTAGGAATGTAGACTTGATACACACGTGCTGGAGAATGAAGGGGAGGTTTTTTGTTTTTTTTTTTTTTCCCCCCACAGATCACGGACTTCATTCCCTCCTCTTCTGCAGAGTCAGTGGCAACTGCCTGGCTCATTACTACAGAAGCTGCAGATTCCTTCCCCCTATAATATCAGCTACCGACAGCCGGTGGGAACAAGCAAAGATTTGATGGACGATCGGTTTTATCTGGAAAATCCTGTCTTTCCTACAGAAAAAGGGGTTGCTTCCCTTCACCCTATGCCACTTTTAAGGCTGAAACAGATAAATCAAAACCAGCTTCTCCTTCAAGCATTAACGATATTTCAGATCCCAGCCAGAGCACACCAGGAATGCTTTCACAAGGGCGTGGCCAGGACCTGGGAGAGGAGGTGATTCCCACTTCCCTAGTCCAGCCCTGGTTCTCGGCAGGAGGTAGCAGGCCCAACGCATCCCAGACAGGTCTGTGTTTTAGAAGACGCCAGAGAAGGTGCCTCTAAAACTCCTGCAGAAGCCCACTTAGATAGTTACACCCCACAGTAGCCTCAAACCGGAGCACCCCCTCCTATATGTATTTTCATGTTAAAGAGGGAAATAAAAACAAATCTTGGAAAACTACAGCGTCTTCCTAGGGTCCCTTCTGCCCTTCATTTCCATGTTCAACAGTGACTGAAGGCCTTTTAAAAATATCTTTTTTGGCTGGGCATGGTGGCTCATGCCTATAAATCCCAGCACTTTGGGAGACTGAGGTGGGTGGATCGCTTGAGCTCAGAAGTTCCAAACCAACCTGGGCAACAGAATGTAAGATTCTATCTCTACCAAAAATGTAGAAATTATCTGGGTGTGATGGCAGATGCTTGTAGTCCTAGCTAACTTGGGAGGCTGAGGTAGAAGGATTACTTGAGCCTGGGAGACTGAGGCAGCAGGGAGCTGCGACTGCATCACTGCACTCGAGCCTGGGCAAAAGAGTGAGACCCTGTCTCAAAAACAAACAAAAAAAAAACAACCTTTCCATCACCACCTCCTTTTTACAATTGCTTCTCCCAGATAGCACTTATTACTGCTTGGCCAAACCCAGCCTGTTCATCACTCACGCCTCCTGGTTAAGTGCAGAGTCCTCAAGAGCAAGAATTCCAGCAGATAAAGACCTAAAAGGGAAAAGTTCCTGGGACAGCTTCAGTTTTTAAGGTGATGATACCCCAGTCTCAGAAATTTTCCCTTCAATCAAAGTGGTTTTGCTAACCACAAATGTAAACTGATCTCTTAATATACCTTATACTTAGCATCTTGATACAGGTGACTGCCCAATTCCACCATCGGTGGTGAAATCCGCTCCCAAAGGAGGTGAGTGTGCCAACTGGCAGCCCCATGGGAATCTGCAATCTTATGAACAACCGGGAAATTCATTCCTTAAAGAAGCACCAGGCAGAAGCCAAAAACAGACGTGGCATCGCCACAAAGTCAGCATTCAGCCCTGAAACCCCACTGAACACACTCCCCAAACGTGTCACTCAAGAAAATGGTCCAGTTGTTAAAAAAAAAAAGGTACTATTTACCCTAATAATGGGGGCCGAGTGACACGTCCACCAGCGGGTATTTTCTACGAATCACT